TGTGTACCTGGAGCCTGATGTGCAGCGGTTTGCCATAGGGTTCATTGCTGGGTCCCTTATTGTTTGTGATATTCATAAATGATGTACATGAGAATGTGGCCCAGAGTGGGGCAGGTGTGTGGTATTGATGAAGAATAAATTTGCGGATGACGCAATGATTAGTCAGGTAGTTCACAGTGAAGAAGTTGTTAAGTAACAAGTTTATAAATGGATTGGTCAAATCAGTGGCCAATGAACTTAATCCTGATAAAAGTGAGTTGATGTACTTTGAAAAAAGTAACGAGACAGGGCAGTACTCAATAAATGGCAAGATACTAGAAAGCTCAGAGGAATAGGGGGATCTTGGGATGCTTGTCTACAGATCGCTGAAGATGGCAGGATAGGTTAAGAGGGTAGTTGAGAAGGCATTCAGAATACTTACCTTTACCGGTTGAGACATAGATTATAAGAGCAGGGGGGTTACGTTGGAGCTGTACAGAAATTTAGTTGGACTACAGCTTGAGCTAACGTGTGCAGTTCTGGTCATTCAGGATATTGCCTGGAATGGAGCATTTTGGTTAAGAAGAGAGACTGGATACGCTTAGACTGTTTTCTTTGGAGTGGAGAATATTGAAGGGGAACCGGGTTGAGATGTACATAATTATGAGGGGCATGGACAGTGATAATAGAAAGCAGCTGCTCCCCTTAGTTGAAGGGTTAATAACAAGGAGGTATAATTTTAAAGTGAAAAGCAGGAGGTTTGGTGGGGATTTGAGGAAACATTTTTTTTCCCCAGAGGGTGGTATGGTCTGGCAGGCACTGCCTGGGAGGATAGTTGAGGCAGGAAACCTCACAACCTTTAAAATATTTGGATGAGCACTTGAACTATCAAAACATTGAAGGCTATGGGCCTAGTGTGGGAAACTATTGCAGGTAGTAGTGTATTTTTGGAGGTACACACTCGATGGGCTGAAGGCTCCCTTCTCTACTGTATGATTCTATGATTTTTGGACCATTTTCGTTCGGGACTGTGGACAATTCAAAAGAGACCTCCATGGAGATTGTAAAGATAGGTCTGTCTCTGTCTCTCCTGGAAATAATGAAAACATTTACAGTAGTGAGAGAGCTGTAAGGAAGTAGTCCTCTCACTGACCCACACTCACTCTGTCTCTCTCTTTGTGAGTAAAAGACAGCACTCTGAACTGGTAACTCAATATAATACCCAGGTATAACTGACCAACTACATAAACTGAGGATCTTCAATCACCCTGCAGCTCACAGCAATGTGATCTCATCAACAAAAACCAAAAGAACTAAGAAAGTCACCTAATTCCATCTGTGTGTTTTGGACTCTTGATCACCAAAATTTTCTGTTTTTAAAATGTTTCAAGCCCATAATAAACACTGCAAAGCTTTACATTATATTTCATCCTGTGTATGAATGTTTGTGTGCATTTGGGTTTAAAGTGGATGGAGTTTAAGCTTACACAGTAACAGTTGATAACCCATTTTGCCTCTTAATAAAGACCAAATGTATTCATAATTGTATTTTTTTGGTTTTATTGATGAAACCTGGTGGGAGTCTTTTTTTTGGTACTATTTAAGAGTAAAAACAAAGGAATTTAACCAACGTGATGACTCAATTGGATATTTACACTTTTTGGACATCTCATGGTGTGCTGGGGATTGATTATCACTGCATTCCTTTTGACAATTGCAACTCTCTCAAGAAATGAACCCCTGTGCCTGATTTCACAGCCAGGCCCGGAAGATAATAATTTAACTCATTGTTTTATTCAACAAGGGTGTGGAACCAGGCCTCTTGATATTGGATCCCATCCTAGGGTTGCTCTTCAAGTATAAATGGTGGTGTGGCTTCTTCTGAAGCATCAGAAACCTGTTAGTAATGGCAGGCATACACTATGGTGTTAATGTTCCACAGCCTACAAGTCATGTGCAGGACGTATGTGCTGGGTCGGTATTCAAACTGCTGAGTTTGTTGAATTCTACTGGGGGTTTGTTTAATGACGTTAAAATTCTCCCCTGCCTTTGATGATATGTACAAGAGGAGATAGCTATGTTTTAAAAGGAAGTTACTCTTATACGTTATAGGAAAGATATTATTAAGCTGGAGAGGGTTCAGAAGAGATTTATCAGGATATTAGAGATAACAAGGTGTAGAGCTGGATGAACACAGCAGGCCAAGCAGCATCAGAGGAGCAGGAAAGCTGACGTTTCGGGCCTAGACCCTTCTTCAGAAAGCTCCTCTGATGCTGCTTGGCCTGCTGTGTTCATCCAGCTCGATACCTTGTCATCTTAGATTCTCCAGCATCTGCAGTTCCTACTATCGCTGAAACAACTTATTAAATTTGTGCTTTTCTTTATATTTGGGGGTTACTTTCTGATTTTCACTAAATCATTTATAAGGTAATGCTCGCACATAATAATACCTTCTGTATGTGTTAACATACGGGGTATTTGGACTCACATGTGCAGTTAGAATATTTTATCAACATTCTCAATAATGATCAACTCTTACATAAACCTATTGCTTTCCTTGTATGCTGTGGCTTTATTTTGCTTGCCACCACAGTATTTAAATTGATGCATAACCAGTATAAGTTAACAAAATACTTTTTTCACAATAGCCACCACACATCTATACTGGAAAAGCCATCACTGTAAACACAACTTCTGCAGATGGCGAGGTCATATTGAATGCATTTTCATCTCATATTCATAAAAGCAGAACATTTAAAACCAGTCTTATGTACTGCATCTCAGACCTCAATTGCAGATTTAAAATTCAACAACTGACAGCGTTCAGTACAGGATAATCCATTACATTGGTTCCAGGTTTTTAGTTGCTGAGCTGCCAGAAACCAAACATTCTGTATTCTTTCACTATGAATCAGTGATTTAAAGGTTTTTTTTGGATCCCAGTTAACTGAGCGTTCCTTTGTTGAAAGATTTAAAACTGTTCTCATTCCTTTGCAGCCTCTTTCTCTCTCTTCCACACCTTTCTTGCAATCTCCTTCATTCCACCCATTCCACTTAGGGCTCCTTCTTCCTTCTCAAGCCCTTTGCCACAGCCTCCTTCTCCTACCCATCTCCTCTTCTGACTGGTATCTCCACCCAGCATCCAGCCGATAGAACACCTTGGTCCAGTAAAAGACCATGCATCTCCGCCAATTGGAGCGCTCAGCTTTACCTCAACAACTTTCAACTTTTCCTTCACAGCTCTCACCCCTCAGTTCCTGGCAAAAGACTGATGCAGGGACTCTCTTAATGCCAACGTGGAATTTCATAATTGTTTGCAACTTGTCCAATCACAGGCTGCTTCTCTTCTGGGTCACTAGTGAACATATCAGCAGCAAGTGCAGGAGAGAACAAGCCTGTGATTGGAGGAGTGACTTTTCACCCTTTTCATTATTCTTTTGGGGGTGGGTGACTTTTCTATTGTTGGAAGTCATTGCACCAGATTTTTCAGGATTTGGCTACTGAAGTTTGTAAACAGGCTATTACATGTCCATCTCACATATAGTCCCTCGGGACTACCTAAAGGCATTGTCACCCTTGTTGGAGGTTGAAAAGTAATTTCTTCCGAAAAGTCTTTCTTGGTCTCAGTATGATTTTTATATCAAAGGTTGATCTAGGCAACCATTTTTGTTCTCATAACAGTAACCTTTTAAAGGAACATGGGGCAATTGGACATTAATCCCCTTAACTCCACCGTACATGGCCAGAAATTCAGAATTAAAAACTTGGTTTCAGTTTATGCAAAGACAGAGAAGAGGCCAAATACAAACAAAGTCAGTAAAATATTTCAACAGTAAATTAAACAGTTAAAGGGGGTTTGACTGTTTAAGATCGAATTTTTTTTAGAAATATAAACATTAAAATGTCAAAAGACAGAAGGTTGGGAAATTAATGGTGACATGATTTTTTTTGGACAGGATACATTTTTACTATTGAGGTTTAAAACATTGTGCTTAGGGACAGTCCCGGGTGAAATGAAGGGGGCCATGTGACTTATGCTATAGTCTACCTGAGAACAGGTTTCCAGATTGGAAAAGAGTGGATGTAAACCCTCAGGAGCTAAGAATCATTTGAACTGTTGTTTGGAAGAATGTAATGTCTAATTAAAGGACAGCGTCATGTATGCCTGTGAAGTGTACTTTCTCAGTTTTGTTAAAATAAAAAGGGGGTGTTCTGTGGTTTAAAGTAGAAGTTGCCAACAAATATATAGTTTCTTCAATAATGGTTTTAATCTTTTATTGCCGTGAATGCATTAAAATGTCTTGTGTCATTCTCCCAGTTATTAACTAGAAATTCAAATTTCTTTCTTAAAGTTATTGATCTCTATGGGGATCATAAATTTGATATTTTTAAATATTTCAATGGAAATTGTACTTTGTGTAGTTCTTTTGTAGTCAGTGTTAATATTACAGCAATAACGTTATTACTACACTTTGCATTGAGCACCTTTAATATTTTACTTCTCTATCTGATACAAGAATAGCTTAAGAAATTTTCCTGGAGCTGTCCAAAATGCAAATTTTCAAATCCAGCCTCATAAAATGTACGGAAATATGAGAAGATATCAGAATTTTATACATTTTATACATTGATTTGCTATATTTTTTAAAAGAACATTGATCTAAAACAAAGCAGTGGTACCAATGAGACTGTGAGGAAAAAATGGGAAATCCACAAGCTTTTGTCAGTATTTAAGGGCTTTTCCCACAAAGAAAGCTGGAAAACACTACAACTTCTGTCCTAATGATTAAAATATAAAATCGTAATTATAAATTCAAAGACTGTATCCAAATGACCTGAAGAAATATCCCAGCATTTTGATTCAACAGTTGTACAACATAATCCCTTGCTATTTAAAATAGTCTTAACTGCTCTTGGTAATTTTGTGTTGAAGAAAAATTGTACTATTACATATTGCATAGAAAATAATGAATTGACCAAAATATATGCAAAACATTTGTAGAAAACAATTTTGTCCTTACCGATGATAAGACTTACTGCAAATCCTAAGGGAGCCTGTGTCCATACAAATCCATGTCCAACAACATAGACTGCCTCTGCTGTACCATTAATGTAAGCACCACCAACCCATGTGGCTATGGGACAGATACAAGATGATTAGGAACTGATCTTATTTATTTCAGTTCATTGCCACATGTATCTATAATACAAATTATTAATATTACCATCATCGTCATATGATCCGAGGCCATTGTTTTGTTTTTAGCACTTGGGGAATGCTGATTTAATGTAAAGGTAAGAACTTGGGCAGAACTTTTGATGTGGAGTATCCGCCATTTTGATTTTGCCTCCGGATATCCATCTGGGTGCAGTGAGGAAAGGAGGTCTCCTCTTATCCTCGATAAGCAAATGTTGGGGGAGTTGTTCTGAGGGTGGAGCCAACCACCTTATCTTTCATTCATGCCTGTGAAGCACCCATTTGAAGGAAGAAGCAAACTTAGCACACAGCTGTACATCAATTTGGAGAAATGGAGAGGCAGGCAGTGGATCTGTAGAACAGTGGTTCCCAACCTCTTTAGTAACACAGCACAATTCAATGAAAAACAATTCCTTGGCACACTCACTTTTTTCAACTGAATTGATCGCACAAAAATGTCAAATTTTACTTGCATTTATTATGCTTATGGTCAAGGTTTGCAACATGGTGCATACAACAAGCTAAAGATTGAATTAATGTTTCAAATGTGTTTTATATTGATTTTTATTCCCTTTGTACAAAATTTCACATCACTCTGTTTGAAAACCACTGCAGTATAAATATCCTTTTTCTCCTTTTCATGACCTTTTAACTTTTACAGTCCAGGAGTGTCTCCATTTAAAGGCATCATGATGTCAGTGAGCTGCTTCAGCAACAACCACATCTCCTTATGGTGTTGCTTAGGCTTTAGAGCTGCCAGCCCTTTGCTTGGATCAACTGCATGAGGAGTCATTATGGAGTGCAGATCTTTAATTATTTCATGAGGTTGTTGACTTCCTCGCTGAGCTGGTTTGTTTTTGTTCAGACGTTTCGTCACCATGCTAGGTAACATCATCAATGAGCAAGTCAACAACCTCATCCACAACCCAAGCTACAGATCTTTGCCAAAACTTTAATTATTTTATTGTTTATTGTTTGATTTATTATTATTATTTAATTATTAGTATTTGATTATTTGAAATCACTATCTAAATTAATAGATATATTGGGAATTCTAATGAAATAGATAATGGCATTTTGTCTCTATCCTTGAATTTAAGTTCAGTGTCAAAGTGAACAAATTTATTCTCTTCACTGACTCTAAAAGTCCTTTGTGAATGGGATTGGGAGTTTCAATTAAGCTCCAAGTTCATGTGGGCCCTGTTGTAATTAGTACTCAGAGTTACTACGGGCTGAAAATGAGGAAAAGGAGCTTTATTGTACATCAAATCATGTTATACATTCCAACTAATGTGGACACTGCAACCCTAAAAGTGGTCCAAACCCCAGCATAGGGAACCATCACGTTGCTAAGAAATAATAGTAAAATGGTAAGGAAAGGTCTTAAATGGTTTGTGCAAACTAGAATATTTCTTCTCGACATCAATGATTAAAAAGGTACTATTTTAACCTTTGGCAAAGGTAAGAGTAAGTATAAATGAAATAACTCACCAGTCATAGTAAAAATACCAAGAAATAAACCTATGTCTCTCCGCCCTATCATAATAACTTCATTTCGAAGTAATTCGCCATGTGTTGGTTTTCTTTTATTTTTCCAGGCTGCCCATATTCCAACAGCCAGGATGATCAAGTAGAACAAGATGATTGCGATTAGCCCTCCAATGTCGATACCCATTTTTCAAATGAAAATGCAGCGAGTGCAGAATACTGTCACCAATGGCTAGATAAAACAAGTGTATGCATTAGTATTTATACACATCAAACAAGAGTGAAATTCATTACTGCTAAGCCAATCAAAATGCCAATGTCAAATGAGATCAAAGAGGAACAGATAAATGGATACGAAAGGAAGTGCCCATTTTTCTTACGTCACAGCAATCCGGTATAATAAATACAAATGTATTAAATTCCTCAAGTTCACTCCCCAAAGGCAGGTCCAACCCACAGTGTCTTCCTCCCCAGCACAGGTAATGCAAGGAGGCAGCTCCCATACCTACCTCAGGCAGGATCAAACCCCGTGCCAATAGCACCAATCCTCACTGGCCAACCAACTCCTCAAGAGGTCTGACTTGTGGTGACAACATTCACCTTCACGTGAATGTTCATAGAATCATAAAACCCCTATACAGTGTGGAAACAGGCCATTTGGCCCAATGGGTCCACACCAACCAAGCATCTGAAAAGCATCCCACCTAGACCCATCCCCCTCCCCTACCCCTACATTTCCCATGGCTAACCCACCTACTCTGCTCATCCCCTGACACTATGGACAATTTAGCACGGACAATCCACCTAACCTACACATCTTTGGACGGTGGGAGGAAACCGGAATACCTCACAGAAACCCACACAGACGCAGGGAGAATGTGCAAACTCCACACAGATAGTCGCCCGAGGATGGAATCGAACCCGGTTCCTGGTGCTGTGATGCAGCAGTGCTGACTACTGAGCCACCGTGCCACTCAGCTTCGTGCTTGGATCTATTCATCATGCTAGTAAAGGTTACAATTTTCTTTGCAGCATGTGGCTGACTGAAATCTCTCCCATGCATATTGCCTACCATTCATCTTGTTTTAGAAGGATTTATAAGTTGATACTCAAACTGATTGGCCAAAGAATGAACACACTTTCCTTACTCATCAAGTCCTAGAATGAGCCTCAAATCTGAAGCCCTGGCTCAGAGGCAGGAATGCTATCTGTTGTGCCTATATTGTATTCATTCATCTTATTTCAATAAGACAAAATAGATTTGTTTCCGGATGAGGTCAGAGAGCTATGTTCTTTACCAGAGATAACAAGGTGTAGAGCTGGATGAACAAAGCAGGCCAAGCAGCATCATAGGAGCAGGAAGGCTGACGTTTCAGGCCTA